CTATTAATGACATCGTTTCAGTAAAAAACTTACTCTACAAGAAACAATTCATAAAATAAATATTGTATTAATCTAAATGATTTAATAAATTTTACAATGTAAAACTTTCACGCTACTTCGCGGGCCGTATTTTGGAGACCCCTGTTCTAAAAGTACAACCAATTCTACCCAGAGTGGGAAAAGGTCGAGATTTATTTATAAACCGTCATGAAATAAATTTCAACTCGCCTAGACCGAATTTGAATCGGAGTCGCTGTTGACGTTGACGTTTACTTTTTAACAGAGACGGCCATCCCGATCTCAACATCTTTTCTGGTAAATAAACCCGACAATATATATATCAAAACTCGCTTATATATATTTTTTTTAAAAACTTCTTTAGGCGCGTTTTCCACTTTTTTTGTGGAGAATGAACAAGATTGAGCCGTCAGATTTCTAATGTGTAACGCTCGGGTAAAGTTTTGCATATGGATTAAAATATCTCAATTACTAAAAATCAGACCAGCATATTGTTCGTGTGGGAAACGTTACATCCTCTTTGCAATGAGCTTGTTTAGGCAACTTTCCTAATTTAATCAAGGCCAGGCAAATAACTCTCATGGGTTCTTAATAGGCAACATTCAAACTATGGGCAACATTCTACTTTTTTGTGAAGTGGACTGTATTCTAATGGATTGGTAGGTTATACTGATTGCGCAAAAATAACTTACCATTTTTATATCGGCATACATCTCTTTGTTACCTGAGGGCAGCTCGTACGGATTAAGTGCTATCTTTTAGATCTTTTGATCTGCCCCCACCACTAGCCGTAACGAGGAAAATTTGAACCATTTTCGCAAAAACAGAGCTATTATTCAAAATTGCATCTTAATGCGACGTCGTGTTAGAGGGGCGAAAAGGAAAAAAAAAGTGTCGGAAAAACATTATGACCATTATGATTGAAGATATGGATAAAATATCTCTGAAACTAAAAATCGCATCTACATACTGTAAGCGAGGAAAATGTTTATCATTTCATCCTCTTTATAATGAGATATTATTTATAATTTCTATTTCATATTATTAATCTCGCCTTGATGTTTATTATACACTTCTATCATGTAGTCTAAAGCAAGTACCTTAGTTTTGTATTGTCAGTTTACACAAGGGGGTATCCTATTGATTTTTGTTTAGAATATATTGGATCTCGCGTGTCTATATAGATATTTTATAGATCTATATATGTATCGTTTTCTATTTGCACTACCAGAATATATAAAACTCAATAGTAAAATATAAAATAATTTAACTCTTAACTGTAACTAAGTAGCCCTTCCAATTTTACTTATTAACTGTTAAATGTGAAGGGTTAAATATAATTGAAAGCCAGCTTTGAGTAAAATCTTGCTGTAGCAGAGGGATCCTAATTGAGGATCTTGGTTGAAACTTTTCAAAGCACATTTCACGGGACATGAGGCCGATAAATTTTGTGGGTCTGGTTGATGATGTACTTTATTAGTCCACGAGTCCTCAATGGCGGGGAGAGATAAAAGCCCTCGCCACTTGCGACTTTTTCATCATTTGACTTTCTGTTTGTCTCCTTTCATGAAATTTTCTCTCCTCTTCAAATATTCTTTATAAAATTTATTTTTTATTTTTGAAATGCAAGTAAGACTCTTTGAACCTTAAACACACAGATCAATGTGAATGTTTAAACTTAATTCCTACAGTGGCATCTTAGCCTAGTAACCTTGTCTTGAAAAGGGTAGTCCAAGTTGTATCTAAAGGTGTCGAAGGTTTGGTTTTTTTTCTTCTATGGGATATTGCTGAGATGCTAAATACAAGTTTTTTACGTCGGTAGCCCTCCCCCCTCCCGGATCACTTTCGAACATCCCAAAAAACTGCTGCATTTTTATCGGGTTTTCTCCATTTCGACCATGAAATTTTCCCACATTATAGATAAAAAACTTGAGATCAGAATAGGCTCGTTAATCCTAAAAAGTTTCGAACTAAAGCTTTTCAAAATTTGATAAATTTTTTAAACTTGAATATTTTGAGCTATTATATTTTCCATGTTTTATCATACACAATTGGGAACGAAATTAACATTTTGAAGGAACAGTGGAGGAGGAGAGGGAAAATTTGTTGGAAGATGAAGAGTTTACTATTCACAACCACACGACATACATTGTGTTCTTTATAATGACAACCTTCATGGCTTCTTTTTTGAGAAAATTTGAATAATCAAATCAAAATTCAAGGTTCTCTTCTACTAAAACTCAATACACAACAGTTGCTTTCCCTTTTAAATTATATAATGTTTATAATTTAAAGGGAGAAGGGTTTTTTATTATTAGAGGCCGCAGTAAGCTTAGGCAGTGCTAATGGAGGCCGCAACAATTCTTTATATTTTACCGATGCTATTTATATTTATCACTAAATACATACCCATGAATATATTTATTCAACTTAATTCAATTAATTTTCATATTAAAAAAAAATAATTAAAAAGAAAATAGGTCTGTATCGCTACAACCCTTGAAGGGTCTTGTGTGCAGTAAAATGTGAGGAAGTACTGTTACGAAGTACGGTTGTGCAGGGAGGTGATGAGGTGAACGCTAAACCGCCAGGTTTTCTCCCTTAATAATTTTTTTAATTAAGGGTACCCACTTTATAGGGACTGGGTGTTCCCCAGGAGAGTCTCCCGATCCCAGAGTCGATCCACAATGAAAAATGATTAGTCATTAGCCGGATTCGAACCTAAGATCTTGTGATCTGGAAATCAGTTCTCACACACTGAGCTACCCCGCTTCCTTCAAATTTTTGTAAATTAAATATTAATTAATTCTAGTGCTAGATTAATAAATATCGCGCAGAAACGTTTGGAGGACGCATGCAGCCTAGAGGCCGTAGGATCACCTGTGTGAATAGATCATTTTCTAACTCGTACTCGCTCAATATGCAAGAATGGTTGAAAATATACTGCGGTGCTATAATGGAAAATGGCTAAAATCATCAGCGTCTCCACAATAGTATCCTCTTCACCACAAAGTGATGTGAGAAGCCTGGTCCATTATTCTCGCCCTTCCGCCAACTGTTCCCATTCACCATCCGTTCCTCATTAGTCAAAAGTCTCCATAATCCATCATCGCATATTTTCATATGTTCGCCTGCAAGTGTTCCTTTGGCAGTTTTACCCACCTGGTCTAACAGTCTGTTGCCGTATCTCATATATCGTCCATTGAAGCTCTGAAGTCGGAAAGTGTAACAGGGCGAAGGTTTATTGTTAAACATGATAGTTCATGTAATTCTAAATAAAATAAACTTTGTTTGTTATTCCGTAGTGGCAGCTGATTTCAAAAATATTAGATTTATTTGAGAAGGGTGGCCGGAGGCACTGTAAAATTAAATACTATGTTACATTAGTAGTTTACTGGATACGCCCAAATATTATTATACTACCATAAAACTATAATAATATATAGTATTTAATTTGATCGCACCCCCTACCAACGCCTTCTCAAATTATAGTCATGGACAACCATCTCCACACCATGATTAGGTTTATCAATTATCAAAATCGATCAAAATGGGAGTATTAAAACATTTTGTATAAGTTTTTTTCTGTCACATATATATATATATATATATATATATATATATATATATATATATGTATATACATATACATATGTGTGTAAAGATACAAAAAACAAAAATTTTGTTCTTAGTTTGAAATAAACAACAGAATTTAATATAGAAATGTTTATTATTTACTTAAGTTTTGCTGAATCCCAAAGGTTTATTTCTTTAATCTTCACAGGTTTCAGTTCAGTTTATAGATTAGATGTTCATTTCCTGTGTTAATATCTGTAATCTGTATGAAGAGAAAGTTGATAATATCATATTGTTATTTCATGTTTGTTTAACTTTATGCCTATAAGGTTTACTTTGGTCACCTATAGTCCGGAACACTGGAAGTTCACTGAGGAGTTTGGAATTTATATTATGAACACTTTCATAATTCTAATATGTTTTATTTTTTAATGAAAACGCCTATAATAAATGTAAGCACATGTCAAAAAAATATATATTCTCATGAACATTATATTTCAAGTAAGTCTAATATATCTTTAAATTATGAATAAGTTCATATATTTTATTTCTTTTCCTGCTGGAATAATTATGGATAAATATATAGAATAAATTAATAATATAAAATCTGTTACTGGTCTGAGATACCTTGCTTATTTATTATAGGATTTGAAATTTGTTAAAGTAATTATTGTTACAGAAATGCCAGAGGAAAGTTGACTTTGTTGTTTAGATGAATTCATTTAAATTTTCTATTGTTAGGACCTACTTTCAATATTTGTCCGGAGGAAATTTAATTTTAGGGCGAGCCCATTTTCTTTTTTTGGTTCGGAGTATAGATAGATCGGTAGGATAAGGAGGCATCTCCATATTACAATACAAATTTAGTAGGAGAAAATTGAAATATAATAGATAAAGTAAAAGATTTATGATAAAAGACAGTAAGGAAAATAGAAGTAAGTAAATGAAATATAGGAAACGAAATAAAATAAAAGCCAATAAATTATGAATATAATGAAAATGATTTAAATTAACATGTAATAAGCTATTAAGTAAATAAGTTAAGAAAGGTGGTTTATTATTTAATAAAATGAATAAGAGAAATATTAAGCTTATCTGCTCCTGGAACTGGAGACGGCGGCAGCTACACAAGGGATGTAGTTAATCCCAAACTACAAGGATGCCGCAACTTCAAAAAGGACACACCGCGATCTGAACTAGGCGACATCTGAAGCGCAACTGGCTTTCAATATTAAATAGATGATTCTGGAGGATTATAGATGAACGTTGTTGTTTATATGAGGAGACAGTATAGTGGTCTAGTCAGTTGTACTAGATATAGTTTTAATATAATTACTATATACATACAGACATATATTTATTTATTTATTATTTATTTATATATAATAAAGTTGTTGTTGTTGCAGCTGCAGTGTACCTGGCCGGGATCGTGGGAGCGGTGGGAGTGGCCGCCTTAGGCCTCTTCTCCATCCTGAGCATCCTCCAGCTGGCGATGGTCATCTCCAAGGAGAAGGTGGTCTTCTCCTTCTCCTTCGTCGTCATCTCCAAGCTAGCGCTAGCACTTCTTGGCAGTGAGTGTACCATTAATATCCTTCAATTAACATAAAAATAAGGTAAGATGTGCTTTTTATCCCAGAGATAACTGCAGAAGTGCAAACGAATAGTGGCAAGTTGAAGGAACGTCCTTAATACTACTTTTCCCATAAGTATATATGGTTCCAACATATTGGTATCATGCTGTTATGAAATATTTTAAGAAAACATTAATGCAAGAAAAATTGGAATTTTCTATGATATATCTAGTATACCTTAAATAAAATAACAAGTTCACGGTGAAGAGTTTTGTTTGTGACATATAATGGGGACATATAAAATTGACAGTTGACTTCCCTTCCCTGGTCCACGACAAAACCCGTATAGCCGAATAAGCGAGGTATGGGAGAAAAGAAAAGTGAAAATCTGGTGTGTCCACTCACACTGCTTTTCTACCTAATTTGAACCAATGCATACAACTTTATTTATGTGCATTAAACAGCCGATACGGTATTTTATCTAGGTTACGTGACAGACGTTCAAAATTATCTTTGACTAACAAACTAACTCTGTACAAAGTTTTATTTAAACCAATTTGAACTTATGGCATAGAACTGTGGGATTCTGCTAAAACTTCTAATCTTAAAAAAATCCAGTCTTTCCAATCCAAAACTTTACGAAGGATAGTAGGCACACCATTTTATGTCGCAAACGATAGATTACATAAAGACTTGAACATCCCAACAATTTAAGACACTGCAAAAGAAAACTACAAAAACTTTCACCAAAGACTAACTTACAACATAAATCCTCTGACAGAAAACCTTGAACGCACTAGAAACCCGTACAGCCCACCTCGACGATTACGTAGGCGGTGGCCAAGAGAGCTGCTGTACTGAACTATTTCCTGGATTGTGAAGGGACGCTGTGAAGCTGCCAAAAAATTTAATTTTTTTATGCCCAATTTTATGTTTATGTATAAAAACGTGAATAAAAACGTGCATTAAAAAAAATTACAGTAATTTTCCTGAAATACTGTAAAAGAAATAATAGTGCGACTTTTTAATGAACTAACGGGGACATAAACGATAATTAAAATCAGCTTAAAAAATCAATACACTAAAAACAGCTAAAAATGGTCCGATTTTTTTAATTCATTATTTGCAATACTGAACCTTTGAAATTTACTGAGAAAAAAAAGTTAACCTTCCCTCAAAATGTGAGGTTTTACGTATTAAAATGCATAGAATACGAAAATGGAATAAAAAAAGTCCGTCCGTTCGCAGTCCGCGGCTTTTCTAGGATAATACTTGACCAATAGTTTTGAGATTCGGTATCAATATCAAAGGAAATCAAAGAATGATCATTAAAATTCACCATTAATTTTCCTTTCAAAATGGAAGTCTAGATAGATAGAAAATAGATACCAGGAATTTTAAATGTAAGATGTCTAATTTGACTGGGCCAGTAAAATTCCGTTGAAAACCGCATGTAGTAAAATAAGAAATGTAGGTGGGACTGATTACTTATTTTTCAATCACTGACATTTTCTTCGGAGACACCTCGTTTATAATGATCAGCACAAAGCTAAATAAACAGTGAGTTTAATAAAGATATCGAATAATAACCCTTTAATAATCACTTTTAATAGCGCTAAACATGGTCTGTACTTTTTCTTTTTTTAATTAATACTTCAGTATATTATTTATCTGCAGAGAGGGTGGTACAAGGAACTTAATTAGAAAACTATCGTATTCTTTTTCTATTTCGATTCTCTTTGGTATGCGAGTAATTGGATGTTAAATTAAATGTCGGTATTCCAAACTGAATCTAAAAAAGTTTGTGTAAATTTGCCAAACTACCTACGGGTATTCGAGTTTAACTAACAAAGTTTTACCTTGTTAAAAAAGCTAAATAAAGTTTTTTATCAAGCGAATACCCAATAGCATTACAAAGCGCTGAATATAAAGGCTCTTTATTATAATAGTTATTTCTATACCAACAATATCACGTTGCAGATATAAATCACTGTCAAAGGATAATGTTAATAAGGATAATTAATTTAATAAATATTGTAAATTTTAAAAATAATAAAAATAGGAATGCAATATAATATAAATTAAAAAATTTTACTGTGCATCAGTGTGAAAAGGCAAATCTCCGAATCTAACTCATTTCTTTTATTGGTCACGTTCTGAATTATATTATTTTGATTGCCTTGTTTTCTTCTTTAAAACACGACTGTATAGTTTAATCATATAGGACAATCAACAATGAAAAGGTTAAAGCAAGTTTATTCTCAAATTATTAGAGAGAGAGTGAGTAACTGTATATATCGAGAGTACACTGATAAAAATTTGCTCTAGTTCTACTATTGGAAAATAAAAATTGATCACAAAAAAAAATACCAACTTCAGAAATCTGGATATCCTGTTCATCCTAAGAGAATATTCTTTCATATCTGCTTATAAACACCTTGGTAGAATATTACGGATATTTAAACTTGTTTTAATAGTCAAGTGTCTACCACACTCCGAACGAAACTGTAAATGACTTTACGTGGCAGAAACAGTAATGTGTAGTTAAAGGAACCCGACTACAAGATCAAGCTTAAATATTCGTCAATTTTCTTTACAATTTATTCACTTCCTCTTTTCAGATAACTGGGATTAGTATATGAGTTCTTTTGATATTAGTAATAAGCTTAAGGAATAAAGCTTAATAGTAGTAGCTCATCTTCATAAAAAATTCCAACTTATTGATAAAAGTTAAGGTTTTCAATTGCAAAGAATATGAACCGTAAGAAAGCTGAAAATAAATGCAAATAAATGAAGGTCCAACAAAAGTAATAAATTTGTACAAAGTGAAGATAAAGCATCAAAATATTTTGTTGTTGGAACTTATTATTTACAATCAGAGCCTGCATTACAGTGTAAGGCTTGGAAAATATTTTTCATTTGACTTTTATAAAAACTTTTCAACATTGACGAGGGAAGGTCACAGTCAGTAGGTCACTGACATCACTTTTTTGTGGGGAAGAGGAGTGAGAGTTATTCTAAATAAAAAAATATTGAATCCTGTCCCAGCTTTCGTTCAAATGGTCTCTCGGTACCCCAAGGAAAATGTAATAAAAATATATAAACTTACCATCCCTAATGTAGTTTAAGAAGTTAACAGTCACTAAAATATGTTTATTTGGTCAGAGAAGGGAGATTTTTTTTGTCTTTGATAGCTTTAAAACAATGTTAGTAAGAACTTTTTTTTTAGGAAACTCTTAAATTGTTGTTCGTTTTAACTCATCTCCTGCAATCATCTCTTTCTGAATTCACCCTATCATAAAAAAAAGCTTATACTTCCTAAATAGGTTCGGTCTTTAAAGCACGAAGGAAACTATAAAGTATGAAAGGAAAAGAATAAAGAGAACTAGAAATTATTATATCTGCAACAACAGGATATGAAATTAAATTCCTGCATTACACTAGCGGCTCAAGGATTTAATTTTGGGGAGGACTTCAGCCCGAAAGATTTTTTTTCATAAACATATAACAATAATTAATTAGAAGAAAAAAAGAAAGAAATTAACTACCTGTATGAAATGGTGTTTAAGTGGTTCTTGAATTCCTATTAAATGTAATTACACGAACAAGAATTCTTTAAGAGATACTTTTTAATATTTTTTTCTGTAAAACATGGTAATATTTTACCATTTTTGTGGAGGGAGGGGCTTCAGCCCGAAAGCGCCCCCCTTCCCGTAGATCCGCCTGTGCTGCATTATATACAACTGTGGGAATAATCATCATTGAAGCTAATGGCAAAATATCGCATGCACATGCAACTTGTTGTTGAATACATTTGAACTAACGATTTTACTGAAGCAAAATTAAATATTGATAAAATGTCAACGATTCTCATACCTAAAAAACAAGATGGTTAAAAAATAAATTTAAAAAACATGGATGCAATCTGGTAGTACAAGTAAAGCAAATTAAGGTATCAAAGACGTACCGCTAGACTGCTGTTTTTATCCATGCTTCTTCATTTTTAGATTGATGTTACCTATATCCAATCTACTGATTGTTGATTGTGTACTTGGAAGTAGCTGCCGTATAAAATTGGTGAAAGGTACTTCGTACGGAGCCGCTTGATTGGCTATTAATCTATTAAAGCACTATGATGGGAGTGATCCCTTCGCCGACACATGAAGAACAGACCATAGCCATTTTATGCGAGGCCGTAAAAGGACCTCTTGGAGAGGACGCGATATAAGGAAGTGATGTTCGATGGAAGGGCTGCAGATGGCTGTCGCTCATTACGACCGCGGGCGATAAACAGAATATAAAGCTACTTAATTAGAGATTCCCAGCAGGGCAAGGAGCCCCTATGAATATTCAATAGAAATAAATTCCGTTATTTCAGTTTGCAACGCCACTTGTACCTCGTGGAGGATTTATTCAGATTTTTATAAAACATTGAATTAAAATATCCGACTCGCTATTAATTTAGTCATTCAGTTTCGATGAGAAAAGATTTTTTTTTTCATTTAAGTATTACGAATACATTATAGATAACGATGCCCGGGATCGATTCGAGTTGAGATGGAAGCATCTTTCATTATCGAATGAAGTTTGTTTGAACGTTAGAAATCTAAACCGAAGCTCTTTGTAGAGGAAATATATTTTAAAAGGTCGGGGTAATTGGATAGCTCAAGAATACTTTCAATTAGATTTTAAAACGCTCCTGTTTCCTCGTCTATTTGTTAAGTCCAAACTTCATTCATTTTAATTTCCTTTTATCCTTTCAATTACCTATTAAAATTAATTAAATAGAAGCAATCAAAATTAATTAATTTAAGAGAAAACAAAGGTAAGAGATGAAGGCGAGTTGTTATTTCTCAGTTTCAAAATCACTCAGCAACACAGGCCGATTCACGAAAGGCTTTCGGGCAGAAGTCCCCTCCTCACCAAAATAATTTAATCCTTAAATAATATTTTAATCCTATTCAATAGTTACTAATACTTAATAATCGCTTTAGAGCATT